CAGGCCGGCAGGAAGCGGGGGGGGAGGGGCAGCGGAGCAGGGCTTCCCTGCGCTTTGTGCTCCCCGAGCCCCGAGCACACACGGCCGACACGTGATATCCTGCTCATTCTTTGCTCCCCCAATAATTTCCGCTCCGGGTTCAGCACATGGCGGTGCCCTCCTGCCCGTCTCATGCTTCTCCCACCTCTGCCGGCCTCGCACAAGGACACCGGGGAGCCATTTCTCCTGTGACCTCCCAGGTCCCAGAGCAGGCAGCGCAGCACAGCTCTTCCCAGGCATTTTGGGAGTCACCTTCCCTGGACATGGCTCCAGCCACACTCCGGGGAAGGGGAGGCAGCCGGCGATGCACAGGTCATGCTGCTTCATACGCCGTTTTCATTTTGAATCAGAGCTTTATGCTCTGTCCTGGGGGATTTCAGGCCCAGACTGTTTGCACAGAGTCAGGCAGCCAACAGCCAGAGCTGAGGGAGCTCCAGCCCCGACGCTTGGGAATTTTTTTTATTTATTTTTTTTTAAGAAGAGTTATGGGCCAGTCTCTGCAAGGCAATTTCAGACAATGGAGCAAGGCATAGCCTTAACAGGAGGGAAAAAATAAGTACTGTTTCCTGCAAGCACTGGGAGCCTGTGCTCTCTTCCCCCAGCCCAGACACACGCAGGCAGCGGCATAGCATGACTCCAGCCCTGCCTGCACAGCAAGACCTGACCTCGGAAGCAGCCCATCCAAAAAAGCTTGGCTCCAAACCCCAATTTCAGGCAGCTGGACCAGGGCAATGACCGACGAGACCACGGCACCGACCCCCACGCCGGGGCTGTATGCCAGCCCGCTGCTGTGCTGCAATTCCCCCTTTCCGAAAGCCGGGCGGTCAGAGCAGCAGGAAGTCATCGAACCACGTCTGTGTGAGTCAGGCCAGGGCAAGTGATGATCCTCCAAACTCTGCCCACCAGCCTCCCCCGTGGATGAGCCACAGGGAGTTGAGGGCTGGGAGGAATCTATTTTCACATCCGAAGAGCGCCAAGGAGAAGCAACAGCTCTCTGTATCTCTGTACAAAAGCAGGACCCACCTCTCTGTGCGGTGTCAATGACTGGTCAGGTTTTCCACTCTGTGCCGTAAAGAGATCTTTGGCCTTTAAAATTAAGAACAACCGAATTAGAAACCGAAATCTTTGGTCAAAACAGACCTGGAGCAAACAGCCCTGCAAAACCTGTGTTTGTTAAAACACAGCAGTCTTTAGATGGGCAAGAGGGACCCAGACCTGCCCTGTCCTGTCACCCCAGGGTAGCAGCATCATGGGGAAGATGCCCCTGATAAAACCGATGGCAGTGTTGCATTTTGAACAGGAATCCTCACCCAGAAGGTCACATCGAGGCAAGCAGCTTCAGAAAAGCACCTTCTAGGCTGGATTTGTTGGCATGGTATCAAATCTGATGCAAGATGAGACTAAGAAAACTTCTTTCGTCTCTTTGGGGGGAAGGGGAGGGAGAGGGATGAATAAGAAAAAAAAGTAAGTTGGCCTGAAGTTTGGTGGAAGAAATTCCAAAGCAAGCTGTGGGCTTAAAACAAATAAGCACTGCCCTGCAGTGTTTGCAATGCAAGTGCTCCAAGCCAGAGAACCTGAAAGTGAAATAAATGGCAGACAAGTGCAAGTGAGTTCAGCACCTCCCCAAAACAGAACCACAAAAACACTGAAAGTACCATGAAGGGGGCAAAACCACACTCAAGCAATCATCTGAAACCCAAAGAAGGGGTTCATGTTGTTTTTGTTGAAATATTGGGTTCTTTTTATTTGCCATCTGGTTTCGAGCATGCCAGGTCTGCTCCAGTCACATTTACAAGCTTTTCCCCTGCAGTCATGAGGGTGAGAAAAGGGATTGGGGGTGGGGGGGTTGTTTGTTGGGTTTTCTGTTGTGTTTTTTTTTAAAAAAAAAAAAGGAAAAGAAGAAAAAGCTGCAATTCTAGTGCTAGCCCTTGTCTCTGAGACCTGTGACTTGGACTGAAATATCAAGGCTCGGGAAGTTCCTGGCCACACTTGCAAGTCTAAAAGGCTGAAAAGTTGTATTTTTAAAAATTTCTTTCCTGTATAGTGAAACCTCATGGCTGCCGAGAAAGGACTTGTACAATACCATCTGGGGCACATTGTTCTAGGCCCTTT